TTTCTCTTCACACATAAAAAATTGATGCATAGGAGCCTAGTTTATTGGCTATGACATTCCTGTGAGATTCTGCCGTGTAACCGAGGATATCTATCACGTACACACTAATGATGAGCTCCAATTATACTGACTAAAAACATATAAATATATACAACCGGGAATATCTTAATTATAACTCTTAAACTTGATAAAAGTTGTATATACAAAAAGATTTATTTGCGGTTGTCTCGCATAACATAAATACGTGTGAAAACTAAAACTTACAATAAAAAATGGCTACTTTCTATGGTGTCAGAATATGGTATGAGAAATGCTAAGGAGACACTCTTAAAGTGGAACTCTTCATATACTCTATATTACCTTACAGTTTACAGTCAATTATGGTGCTAACATTATAAAATATTATGTCAAAAACATGAAGTGACAAACAGAGAATCCATAGAGAGTCTCTTTAGCATTTCTCATATGGTACTTGCAGGGAATAAATAAAGATCTTATCAAGACATAATAATGTGACAGTAATAAGGGGCTTTATTTGTATGCATGACATCCAAATCTCGTTGATATCGGGAACACGGTCTAATACACCATATGATATAAATAGTTGGAAATTTTTTTTTTTAACAAGTTTCCAACCAATTGTATTATTATACTTGGTGTACCAAACAGTGTTCTCAACACACTAAAAAATCTGTCTTTTCCTACCCACAATCTGTTTGTTTTGTTCTTAATTCAATTTCCTGTTTTGTGACGAAACCTAGGTTTATCTACGACAACCACAACCCTCTCTGTCCGCACTGCAATCTTGTGATGAAATGTTTTCCTTTTATGGTGAAAATGAGTAGCTATCTCATCTGCTTACAGATTAATCGGTATACGATAATTCATAATAATTATTGAAACAAAGATGGGATGGTTTTGTCCAATTCCCTGTCATTCGCAAAAGACATGTCATGTCTTCTCATCACGGGCGAGTTTAGGGCTGCTGTGTGGGGGAGGTAGCCGCCTACCGAGAATAAGAAAAGATAACTGTTACTAACATTTTAAAATAATTATCATGACCCCTCATAGATAACTTCCAGACCGACATGCATAAAAAACTGTTTGCAAGTGCTGATAACAACTTCTGAAAAATATTAGACACATAATTCATGAGGAGAATTTTAGGGTTTTGGGTGACTTTCGGTGCGCCTAAGCATCAATGTAGTAGATGAAAGTATAAAATTTTGTTTCTCTATATCTCACCCGTTCATCAATGCAATGAGATAATATAAATTTTCACGGAATTTCTAATCACTTTAAATGTAATAGTGTAAAGCAGCACTTTTCATCCGTACAATAAGCATGAGATGTTTTTTCATCACATAGAGTTGTCAATTTCTAGAACAAGAAGACAATTGGACTAAAGTGGTATTAAGCCAAGCAGAAGCCTTTTCCTTTCATTCAATAAGGTACCGTTTAGTACACAGACTGGACGAAACAGGACGGAACGGAGGTTCCATGCTACATTTGGTGTATGTTCAAGCTGAAATGGAACGAAAGATTAAATGACAATCGTACCCATCCACTCCGACGAGTTCGACCTTACCTGAGCCACCGCCTACGAGTTCAACGTCATCCCTCACATCTTCCACCTAATCCTCGCTGTCCCATCCCTCGAGCGACGGCATCAGCCACTTCCTTTCATCGGCTTTCCCCGGTACCCTTCTGTTCTTCATGTTTGTTTCCCCAGAAAATTTCCTCTCTTTGGCTTTCTCAAGAATGCTTTATCTGATCTGGATTTTCTTCATTTTGCTGTTTTTCTTCTTTGAATATAGAAATCAAACATAGAGAAAATTTCTTTTTGTTGGGTTTTTGTCACTCAGTTTCCCAAAAAATTTGAAGTGCGATCAAATAAGCTTGATTTCCTGGAAAAACAAGAGAACTTAGTTTTTGAGTTGATTTGTTGAGGTAAATTTTGATTTTTAATGAATATTTTATGCTAATTGTGCAGAAATTGAGAGATCTCTGGAATTTTGATTAATTTTGTTTAATTTTCGAAGTGAAATTAATGAAAAAGAGAAGGGTATTGTTGTCCAAAAAGTTATAATTTTGTGTTCCATGGGCTAAAAATAATTATTTCCTTCTCTTCATTGATGATTTTTCAAGGAAAACCTGGGTGTATTTCTTGAAGCAGAAATCAGAAGTCTTTGGAGCATTCAAGAAGTTCAAAGCCGTTGTAGAAAAGTAGAGTGGTTGCAAGATCAAAGCCATGAGATCTGATCGAGAAGGAGAATTCACTTCGAATGAATTTCAAGAGTTTTGTGAAGCAAATGGAATTCGTTGACCTTTGATAGTTCCAAGATCCCCTCAACAAAATAGTGTGGCGGAAAGAAAAGATCGAACTATCCCTCGACATGGCTCGAAGCACGCTCAAAAGCTAGAGATTGCCTAAGGAATTGTGGGCAGAAGCTGTAACATATGTTGTCTACCTATCCAATCGGTCTCCAACAAAGAGTGTGTAGGGAAGGACTCCGCAAGAAGCATGGAGTGGAAGAAAGCCAGGTATCTTTCATCTAACAGTTTTTGGAAGCATAGCCCATGTACATGTACCAGACAAGAGGAGCACCAAACTTGACGACAAAAGTGAGAAGTTCATCTTCATCAACTATGACACAAATTCAAAAGGCTATAAACTGTATACTTCGAACAATGGGAAGACGGTGATTAGTCGAGAAGTGACGTTCAATAAAGAAAGAGAATGGGATTTTGGCTTGCATGCAGGTGATCTTCACTTCTTTCCTCAATTTGAAGAAGATAATGAACAAACAATAATGGAGCAAGCAAGAGAAGATCAACAAGAATCCACTACTCTACCTGCTTCACCAACATCAACCAATCATGGCAATTTACCAGCATCAGCATCGTCAAGTGGGAGTCTAAATGAAACAGAAGTACCACACACAAGAAGTCTACAAGATCTCTATGAGGTGGCTAAAAGACTTGATAATCCTACATTTTTCTGTCTCTTTGCTGATTGTGAACTAGTCAACTTCTAAGAAGCAGTGCAGGATACTAAATGGAGGAAAGCAATGGATGAAGAAATCAAAGCAATTCAAAAAAATGATACATGGGAACTCACTATTCTTCCGAAATGACATAAAGCCATCGGAGTCAAGTGGGTGTACAAAACAAAGAAAAATGCCAATGGAGAGGTCGAAAGACACAAGGCGAGACTAGTGGCGAAATGTTATAGTCAAACAGCCAGAATCGATTATAATGAAGTATTTACACCCGTTGCTCATTAGGAAACGATACAATTACTAATTTCTTTGGCAGCTCAAAACAAATGGAAGATTCAACAAATGGTTGTGAAGTCCGCTTTCCTAAATGGAGTCCTTGAAGAAGAAGTCTACATTCAGCAACCATCAGGTTATGAAATCAAAGGGCATGAAGACAAAGTTCTGAAGTTGAAGAAAGTCCTCTATGGGTTAAAATAAATGCCACGAGCATGGAATAGTCACATCGACAAGTACTTTCAGGAGAACAACTTCATCAAGTGCCCTCATGAACATGCTCTCAAAGTCAAAGATGGAGACATTTTGATTGTGTGCTTATATGTGGATGATCTAATCTTCACCGTGAGTAATCCAAGTATGTTTGAAGAGTTCAAGAGAGTGATGACCAAAGAATTCGAGATAACCGACATCGGGCTGATGACATACTACCTAGGCATTGAAGTTAAGCAAAACGAAGAAGGCATTTTCATCTCCCAAGAAAGCTACAAAATGAGGTATTGAAAAAGTTCAAAATGGAAGACTGCAAGCCCATAAGCACGCCAATGAAGTGCGGAGTCAAACTAACCAAGCATGACAAAGGAGAAAGCGTAGATCCAACATTTTTCAAAAGTCTAGTTAGAAGCTTGCACTATTGGCTTGCACAAGACCAGATATTCTCTATGTCGTCAGATTAGTTAGTCGATACATGGAGAATCCCATAAGTACACATTTGAAGACCGCCAAAAGAATTCTTTGATACCTTAAAGGTACTATTAACTTTGGCTTGTTCTATTCAAGCTCTAATAACTACAAGCTTGTTGGATATAGCGACAGTGATTCGGCAGGAGATTCCGACGATAGAAAAAACATTACTGGATTTGTGTTCTTCATGGGAGACACTGCATTCACATGGATGTTGAAGAAGCAACCAATTGTCACACTGTCTGCCTGTGAAGTTGAATATATAGCTGCTACCGCATGTATCTGTCATGCAATTTGGCTGAGAAACGTGCTGAAAGAATTAAGCAGGCCACAAGAAGAGCCAACAGAGATCAATGTCGACAACAAGTCTGTAATAGCTCTAGCAAAGAATCTGGTGTTCCATGACAGGAGCAAGCACATAGATACTCGTTATCACTACATAAGAGAGTGCATTGCAAGAAAGGATGTGCAAGTGGAATCCGTGAAGTCTCAAGACCAAGTCGCTGACATATTCATCAAGCCACTCAAACAAGAAGACTTTGTTAGACTGAGGAACTCAATCGGCGTCACAAGACAAGATTAAGGGAGGATGTTAAAAGGTAATCTTGTCTTTGGCCCAAGACAAGTGATCTAACCCAAAGCAAATGTGTGCAAATGCTAGCAATCTATGTCGATAATATAGCTGGAAAATTTCAGCAATTTCAAATGGTTATCACCTAAAATATCCAAGTTAAAGAAAGATCTAGAGGCGGCAAATCATGTGGTCATTGCTGCAATGCTCAAGTCGGTGGTAACAAGGATAGTCGGGGAACACCACCTTTAAATAGGTGTGTGGTGTTGTGTAACAAAGAAGCAAGAAGAAGTGAGAGTCAGTAAGAAAGCAAGAAGCGAGAAAAAGAGTGAAGAAGTGTAAGAGTGTTTGAGTGTTTCCTCTTGTACTAAGTTTGTGTGAGAATAAAAATTTTGTGTAATACTCTGAGTGTTCTTTCTTTTTTCTTGGCTATCAATTCCGCTGCGTTACATTCTTCTTTATGAGATAAACATCTCCAAAGTAGTGAAGTCTTTTTAAGCCCCAACACAAACCTGTGGAATTGCTGGAATCATGTAGAGGCTATTATCAGGACTTTGGTCAAAAGCAGAAACTTCTCTTTCAATAAGATGTTTTTCACTATTTGAAAGATCCATGACTACTGTGCATGCAGGAATAATTGTGCTTGATGCATACTCCCGTGCGGCTAATGGCTGCTGATTCCAGAAGGCAGCAGCATCCTACCATGTACCAAGACAAAAATAACATTAGAAAATATTCCCGACAGAAGACAAAGAGATGGATAAGCATTATCCTAGCTGCCTCTATTGAAATATTCTACCATATGATACGAATAACAAATGAAAACTATGCAATTGGTGATATCATTTGCATAAGTTCCAGGGAAATTGAAGTCTCCTGGTGAGTTAACCCCAGACCTATAACCATAAATAGGGTCTTTGGGCATCTAAAGAGGAGACCGTGGATTTCATTTAAAAAAAAAAAAGAGTCCATCTACTCGTTGGGCTGCTAGAAAATTTGTCTTGAATTTTATATTATATATATGAACTTTTGCCTGGAACTTAAAGAAAAGGAGCCGACACTTCATGGAATGACCAGACATGGCTTATACAATGCCAGTATATGAAGTGACTAGTAAATTTATAAGCACTATTGAAGCTGAGATCCTTACCATGTTAACTTTTAGTAATGTGGTATATATGATTTCAAGTTCTGATCTGCGGTAATCAAATTCTTCAATCTTCTTCCACTTCTTTTTCAAAGAATCTTCAGCTTCTTTCCTTTCCGCACATAATTTATTTAAGCGTTGTATTTCAGACATCAGTGTATTCAAGCTAGCCCTCAAGCCAGCAACTTCTCTTTCCTTAGCCCAAACCTCCATCTACACAAAGCAAATGGAAGACTGTAAAAAATCAGATGAGAACACAGTGCAGGCTAAAAGTAACCTAGTATACAGTATACAACTATGGAAACGATCAAAAGACTGAAACTAATCAAACCTGTCACCCATGGTGCTATTTCCACCCAAACTATTGGTAGTTAATACTTTTAATATGCAAGGAAGATTTACCTCAAGTTGCCTAAGACTGCCCACATTTTGTGATGTTCCTGAAGAAATTACATCACTATTGCCATGCAAGCGTTTTATAAGTTTTTGACATAGATCCCTCGCTTCTGCAGCTTTGTTCAGTGCATCTTCAGTAGCCAAAAATTGCTGAACAAGTGCTTTCTGTGAACAATATATTCCAAATAACAAGTTAAACTCTTGCAACGAAACAAAAGCAGAAAATGTAGGGGTAAAATGGAACCGAGCAATTATTTCATTTAAACAGTATGGTCCTTTATGGAATTAGGGTTTAGACCAACTATTATACTTTGTATGGGGATAAATCATTTAGATCAACTATTATACTTTGTATGGGGATAAATCATTTAAAGTTACTGATGACATGCATACTTGGCGACAATGATATCAACACATACAAATGACATATCCTCCAACTTTTCTTCAAGAGAAATAATATCCCTACCACTCGTTGTCTGTTGGAAAGAAATCGTGATTGAATGCAGAGTCTTACCGCCAAGGAGTTAGGCGAGATTTTTTTGAAATTGATTTGTTATATACTTTTCGTAGTTGTATAGTTGACTCATATATAGGAAATACTTACATATAGGTTTTCAGTCATTTTCTTGGATTTTACTTTCTTTTTTTTCATTTTGTACCCTTTTTATTCCTTTCTTTTGATTTTCTTTGATTCATTTGAATTTAAAGATTACAAAATAAACATGAGTGTATGGAGGAGAAGGTGTACGGAAATCATTGAACGGACGTCTATTTTATAGTCAGACTACAATATAAAAATAAATTTGATGAAGAACTTGTTGAAATTTTGAGATGAATTTACCTGAAATGAAATGGCTGGTATGTGAGAAATCCTCTTGGAAACATGTGTCACAGTAGACAGTGCCTACAACAACTGCAGAAGGATCGTTCTTCTCATGGCTAGCCTCTGAAGGAGTATGAAATGTAAGAGCAGTAACAAGAAAGAGAACTGTAAAAAACCAAGACATGGTTTTAGAGCCTATATTCCCCCTCTAAGAAGCTCAGATATTCTTGACTCGAAGAATGAGTTGATACAGGTTGCCTTTTAGTTATATCAAATGCTGAGGCCTTATAACTAATGTAAATATTCTCTGTAGGATTGTACGTACACTTTACATGTACGCAAAATTACTCATCAAATTGATTATATATATTGTGATTGACGGACAAATAAGGAATGACTATTTTCGAATATTATATAGCCTGGGGTCCATCGAGCTTCAGTATATACTCATGTAAAAACCAGAGTCAACTGCAAATCAGAAGAAGTGAATGTAGCTAGGTTTCGTTCCCTACCACCAAACCATACAAGAAAAAAAAGGTAATATTTGTGATGGTGGGCAAGTAGATAAAAAGAGGTCCCCAATTTTTGTGTTCCTGTGTGTTTCGTTGTTGTTTCTTTGTTGGTGTAAGAACGCCAAGGGAATACTTAGGTCCCGGTTAGTTGAGAAACTTGAAAAAAAAACTGATTTTTTTTACCTAACTAATTGTATTATTAGTGTTTTATCTACTTACAGGTTGATCAATAAACACAACCCATAATAATTATTGAATAAAAGAAAGAAGTTTTCATTTTACTAATACTTGTATTGATGTTTTGTGTTCGAAATAGTCAGTGGAATGAAGAGATAGAAAGCATGGGATGCTTTTACTAACAAAAAAGAGAAGGGATGGTTTTGTCCTATTTCCTGTCATTCACAAAAGACATGTCTTCTCATCACGGGCGAGTTTAAGCCTGCCTTGCGGGGGGGAGCGAGGTTCAAGGACTTTTTCATGTCTCGCCAATTTCCAAATGGTAACGTATGGCATTTTCCCATTCTATATGAGTGAATTTATGCATATTTTAAGATTGTAGGAAGTACCAGACCTACTAGCATAAGAATAAGAAAGAGGATTGTTATTAACACTTTAAAGTAATTATCATGAACTCCTCATAAATAATATCGAGACCTTCATTGGCGAAGCCACAGAGGTTCAAGGAGGTGTGTTCGCACCTTCGGTCGCCGGAGTTCGTTCCCAAAATCCAGGTTTCCACCCCTCTGCTCTGGTGCTGCGGTGCTGCATTTTGGTTTTCTGCAGTGGGGCGTTGCTCCGTTTTAGTTTTTTTTTTTTTTTTAACAAAACCACGTCGCTTTGCACCTGAGAAAAACAAAAAATTTAAATGAAACGAGTCAAACGAAGTTGTTTCGTTACAAAGAGTTCATTATGTTTTTTCATAGAGGCTACCTTTGCTACAGCTCCTGCCTGTTCAAGTATCCTTCCTTTTTCCCCAAACACGTCCTGCAACAGAAGCACACGAGCCAATTAAAATACAACCTAAAACTAGCTAGTAGAATTGGAATCGCTAATATTGTTAAAGTAAAAGGAATTTAAAAAATAAAAAAAAACTATTGAAACTTTGATCTGAAGAAGAAGAAAACAATGGAGGAAGGAAATGTTAGAGAATAATTAACACTAATAACTAGTTAATTAGTTAATTATATGAAAGCAACATGAATTTTTCATGGCAGAAGAGAAGACCATGCACGTTACCTCTGCATTGTTGATTTGTAATTTTCCTATAGTGGTGCAAGCAACCTTTTTCTCCTTGAGTCGTCCGAGCCTACAATTGCAATGTCTAATATTATATCACCCGGCTCCTCAACTTTTATATTTTTTCTGTGTGCCATTGTTATATTTTTCTCTATTTTGCTCACTCGGAATATTATTCGGCAAAGTGCTAATTTTTCACATCTAATGTTTGGTTTGGCCAATATCTACAGAGTCGATCATTATTTTTTGTTTTTAGCATGAGTAGAATTTTCTCCCCTCTTATTCACATCATCTTTCATTTCCTTCTCTCATACATTGTGTTGATGCACAAAATCAGCGAGGACTTTGGTACAACATAAAGTGTCAGGTTTGTGACCTTCGCTTGGTTGCTTCGATCACTAGTGAAGATAAGTACGTAAATGAATAGGGACAGGGAAGCAAACACAAGATGTACGTGGTTCACTCAGATCGGCTACGTCCACGGAGTAGAGGAGTTCTCATTAATTGTGAAGGGTTTACACAAATACATAGGTTCAAGCTCTCATTTTTTGAGTTCTAGTGAATAGTTTAGTACAAAATGACATTAGAGATTATTGTGGGAGAATGATCCCTATTTATAGAAGAAAGTTTCTAGTTTTGTTCTAACATTGACACGTGTCGTGTTGTGATTGGCTTCTGATGTTGACACGTGTCGCGCTGTGATTGGCTTCTGATGTCGACACGTGTCGCATTGTGATTGGTCTCCTGGTTGAAGGGAAGCTCTTCTGGGTCCTTGACGTATAACGTTGACCGGTGCTCAGTAGTTTTCGGGATTGGTCAAGTATGGTACAAACAGTGCTCCCCTAAGTTCCCGAGTGAGGGAAGCTCCTCGGTTGGGGACTTGCAAGATCCAAGCCACTGAGTAATCACGAAACTTCTAAGTAAGCTTCAAGTGAAATTGATACATTACCTTGTGCATCTTCATCGGTTAAAGATACCACCCATGGATGAAGGAAAAGTACTTCCAAAGAAGATGCCACATCAACATGCGCGGCCATCTACCACCGGTCAACGTTATACGTCAAGGACCCAGAAGAGCTTCCCTTCAACCAGGAGGCCAATCACAATGCGACATGTGTCGACATCAGAAGCCAATCACAGCGCGACACGTGTCAACATCAGAAGCCAATCACAACACGACACGTGTCAATGTTAGAACAAAACTAGAAACTTTCTTCTATAAATAGGGATCATTCTCCCACAATAATCTCTAATGTCATTTTGTACTAAACTATTCACTAGAACTCAAAAAATGAGAGCTTGAACCTATGTATTTGTGTAAACCCTTCACAATTAATGAGAACTCCTCTACTCCGTGGACGTAGCCAATCTGGGTGAACCACGTACATCTTGTGTTTGCTTCCCTGTCCCTATTCATTTACGTACTTATCTTCACTAGTGATCGAAGCAACCAAGCGAAGGTCACAAACCTGACACTTTCTGTTGTACCAAAGTCCTCGCTGATTTTGTGCATCAACATTTGGCGCCGTCTGTGGGAAAGACACTTACTCCCACTCTCTTCAGCTTTGTTAAGCTGGTTTCCACCGCCCGTACACTTTCTTTTGGCCAAACATCTCTCTCCAACATGGGGAGCGAAAGAAGCCATAGCACACAGAATGACACCCCCATTGGACCTAGTATGAAGCAACGAAAGCAGGAAGGAAATAGAGTTACTCTTCAAGCTAAAGTCGATGAGTTAGAAGCTCAGAACAACAAGATAGTGATGAGGAACGAGGTCCTCCAGGAGCAGTATGAAAAACTTTTCGAGATGCTTCACGAGGCTAGGCATGCTCAAGCACACAAGCTCGTCGCCCCTGCTGAGGTCAACAATCATCTGAATGCCCCCCAACACGGAGGGTCACCAATATCCAACACGGACATCCCTGATAGGGATCGAGCTACACATCAATGTGATAATCAACATGAGACTTCTCTCAACCCAGCTGCTTCAACCCGAAGCAGAAAGAGTAGAGGAAAGCACCTCCTCACAGAAGGAGTGGAAGGATCAAAAGCTGTCTATCGCGATTGTCGAGACTTCCTAAAGCAACGTCGAGAGAATCCCATCCACATAAGCTCGAAGATCAATGACCCAAGAGTTTCTGAAAGACTCGGTCCTTTCCCACGACCCAGGCCAGCAGTTAATCTAGGGAATGGGCAACAAGTCCCAGAAGAACATGAAGGTACAGGGGACTCGGAAATGTTCCGACATACTCACTCTAGGAGTCAGTGTGACGAGTCCAAGGAAAAATCATGCTATCTTGATCAAACTTTCCTACTTCCAAGAGGCGATGGGGACTTACGGAAGAAAACTCCAGTGATGCACGACTCCACTCAGGACCCCCTCGTCCTACAGCTCCTGGAGGAAGTAAACAAGTTGAAGGCTGAACGTCAAGCCGAGATACCTGACTGGAACCAACCCAGGCCTGGCCCCCTCACAAGAAGGATCCTCAACACCCCCCTCCAAGCGAAGACAAAGCAGAAGCTTGACTTACAACTCTATACTGGAAGGGAAGACCCGATTGAACACATTAACCTCTTTGAGTCCACCATGGTATACCGGAGACACACCGATGAAGAACGGTGCCTTCTCTTCCCCTCCACCCTTTCTGGCGGAGCTTTAAACTGTATTGTCGTCTTCTACCCGAGACGGTAGACTCATTTGAAGAGTTGAGGAAGTTGTTTGTCTCTCAACACATCTTCTAGACCGATCGCTTGCATTCCGCAGATGACTTGTACACTATTCACCAGAAGCCGGACGAGTCATTACGAAAGTATGCTGGTCGCTTCAGCCATGAGTATTCCCGCTGCGCTGAGGCAGATGACAAGACCGCCCTCAAGGCCTTCACGGCAGGCTTACGTGACTGTTTCTTCAAGTACATGATCAATGCCAACACTTGGAAGACTTACTCTGAAGTGATGGCACAAGCTTACAACCATGCCTCTGCCGAGGCAAGGACATATCAAGGGAAACCCCCTACAGTCACCCCTTATCAGCAAGTAGGAGTGGAGGCCAGATCCAACCGAATGAAAAGACCTCAACCTTCCAAACGGTAGCAGCACACCCCCCGGCCTCATTTAATGCTTCGCCAAGTCAGCAGACATATCAATCCCAGGGCAAAAGGAAAGATTTCCATCCTCACCAATCTCATTTTAATAAAAAGAATAAGGGGCACTATCACGATAACTCAGTATATCGTCACAATAACACCCATCCCCATGCAGTCAACGCAGTGGGCCAATCGCGTGTCAAGACAGGCCATACCCCGAGGTATGAGACATACACACCTTTGAACGCTACATGCGCGGCCATCTACCCCAGTATAGCTTACCTGATACCAAAGCCAAAGCCAAGACAGCCAAATTACAAGTCCACGAAGAACACGAGCGTGTTTTGCTG